GAAAACTACAAACCCTTGCTGTCGTCTACAGTTGGTGTAAGCTCAATTTTTAGAATGCATGAGAACAGAAGTTTCAAAACAAGTTGTGTGGATTAAAATCCCTACTTTTATTAAACATGATGAGCAAAAGGCTTTATTAGTATTGATGAATTTTTTTGGAAATAATGCTTTTGAATACTCAGGTAGGAAATTAATCTTTTATCTTGTCAGTTGTTTGGGGGAAATTGTATAATTAGGGAGCAGTTGCATGGGGAGAGTACCTAACATTGTAAGAGCTAAATTTGTTGTTATTGTTGTTGTTTTTTTGTCATCCACTTTCAAAATTGCTGTATTGAAATTTACTATAAAGTAGATTCCTGCAAATAAAACTGTCTTGTTTAACTTTATGTACGTCTATATTTGCATCGTACATTTCATAGCTCTGTGAGGAATAAAAGCAACTGTGATATAAAGGGAAATTGCCGCTAGCACAGGTACTGAGGAGAGCGTCTGTGAAGCTTTAGTCCTCAAGGAACCTCAAGTCTGAGCTTATGTGGTACCAGGAAGAGAAGCGTTAGAAAACCTGCTGCAGGTCAAGGTTCTCCGGGGAGTTTAGGTAGGCCAGCAGTATCCTAACCAGGCTGCCTTCTGGCTATCTAAATTACTGTCATAACCTCTACATCCCATATTGACCACCATCATCACAAAGGTGTCTTTAAACTTTGCTTTCTTTGATCTGAAGCTGAAATTCTCTCATGTGCATCACTGATTTAGAGAAAATAGTTGCAATGCTGGGATTCTCTCATGTGCATCACTGGCTTGGAGTTGCAGATGAGCTATTCTAGGGGGTTAAAATTAATAAGGCTTAGGCAGGAAGAAAAGATTTTTTTGTAATAAGACATTTTTTATTGAAGTGATTAAAGAATTTTGCGATAGAAACAAATGTGAAGTGTACATTACATCGAATTCCGTACCATGTTTTAAACACAAAAATGTTTAGCCTTCAGCTCCCTATTGAGATCATATATCCTCAGCCTTATTTCACATTGCAGCAAGGGAAGGAATAAATTTGTCAAATGCCATATTCGTTGAAATCAAATAGTAAAGGCTTCCCACATCTTACCTTCATTTAGCCAGCTAGTGCTACTATAGACTTCCTATTTTGTGATAAATCTGGCTACTCCTTTTATATGGCAAGTCTGACCCAGCATCCAAAAGTTGGGAAAGAACAGGATCTAGAAAATGTTACTAAAATAGAGCTAGTATTATGAAGATAATCCTTTCCACTGAAACTTTTTCTGCTACACTTTCTTCCCAATAATGTTGCACTGCTCAAGCCAGCCCAGCTTGCATGCAGATACAGAGTCACCAAGTTTGTGTAACTTTGCATCTGAGGTAAGTGGTTCTACCTCCCTTTCAAAGGGATTCTGGATTGCAAAACCTGTTAGTTTGGGTGCAAAACCATGCAGAGTTGTGGCTACCCACTTTGATGCAAGCTGTTAAGCTTACGCATGTGTTGTGCCAGGCCATAACAAATCTGTAAGGCCAGTAGGCACAGCCCAGTGCCAGCATGAGAAACTCTGTCCTGACCAGTTCTGAATGATTATAGACTTTCCCTGAGTTTCACAGGAGGCTTTTGGACTGAGTGAACCTAGGTGACCTGTTGAATGGGTGTAATCAGTTTAAGGGCTCCATGTTTAACCCTGCTTATGGAGCCCTGTGGTAGGAGGAAAATCTTCTAAATTATTAAGAAAATCAAAGTTTTGCTTAATTGTGGTCCCCTATATAAAGTTCTTTTCCTGTTGTTTTATAAAAGGCTTTATAGCTTGGGCTTTCTAATCAGCTCGGTGAAGAGCCTCCATTGTATTTTGGGTATTTGCTTCTTTTTCCTGCTTACTAATATTTTAAATAACACAGTTTTGCTCAGTTAGATCATGCTTGTTTGGTGATGGCTTCCTCTACCTAATGGGTGGATACCGCAGCTAGAGATTTTTGAGTAGGAAAGCATGTCATTGAAGTCCCTCTTTGTGGTTGATCTTTAGCGCTTTTTTATTTTGTATAAGGCTTTGCCGAATTTTTTCCAGTAAAACTTAACAGCTTTGTTAATGTTCTGAAATGAAACAGTGAGGTTGGGGATACCCTGAGAATCCAGTTGTTGTTCAAGGTGAATGGTAACAGACTTTTGCATGATGCCCTTCAGGTATAGAAATCTGTTCTGCAGCAGGTCGTATGTAAGCGTTGTGGTGGATCACAGCAGTTGTTGGAGTTGGACACTTTTAAAGTGTCTAGAAGTGGCTGAAGTTCACAGAGGAGTTTCCTACTTTTTCCTGGTTATGTGGCTTCCTCACTATGTGATGATGAATTTTCAGCAGCAGGTGGAAAGTCAGGAGGTTTAGCTCATGTGGCATATCTGAGAACAGAGCTGTAACTCTTGAAAGGACATTTAACTTTCTTTGTCTTAATTTGCTTGCCATCTTGCCTACAATACTTCATGAAGTATTGTTTACAGCCTTAGTGCCTTGTAATCTTTGGTCGAAGGTAGTATACACGTGATGTATGGTCTGCTCTGATAAAATCTAATGCTGTCGTAGAAATCTGAGCAGTACAGCAGTGATGTGCTCATTGCTATGAGACTTAGTGTGTTATCTGGGAACAGAAATAAGGAATTTTATCACTGATGTAATTCAGTGTGTGCCTTCTTCTGTCTTAATATGTTCTATTGTGCTGAAGGCTAAAATTGAAGAGAGTCATTGAAGAGAGTAGGAAAAACTCATTCCAATACACTTTTTTAACTGTATTTGCTAATGCTTGAAACTTGGATGGCAGCAGTTATTATCAAAGTGCATAAGTTTAAGGTTTATGCTTAGAGATGGCAATAGAAGAGGAATATTGGGGTGGAAAGGCATTATATGTATTTTCTTTTGAAATCAGTGATCAGTTGAAGGCTAGAAAACACATCATCGTATTTCATTCTAGGCTAAAGACAGTGTTTACGAGCAAAGAGGTGAGGAGGATATGCATGAGACAAGGCAATATTTCTGTGCATGTTTCCTTATCATCGTCTTTGCATTATTATATTTTTCAGGAGAGTAATTGATATCCTTTTTCCTTTCTCTCTCTCCCTTCCCCACCCCGTCCCATCCCCATGTGATTTTAAGGAAAAATTGTGTCTATGGATCAGGTTAATGACCAAGAAAATAAGTTTGTCACTTTTTCAATGGTCTAATGAATCATGTTAATGGTATCATTTTCTGGTGTCTTTCAGGTAGTTCAAATTGTATGCAACTCAAGATCACGTCGTAGAGTAAAGCACCCTGTGTTTTTTTGCTAAACTGTAGAAGGAAGCATGTGTTTGCCTCTAGGAAAATACACATTTTATTGGGAGAAGATTTTTTTTTTCCCCCTATTGAATGTTTCTTTTCAAGAGGCTTAGTATTCTGGAAAAATTTTTCTATTGTAGAAGTCCCATGTACCATTAAACACGATTATTATTTTGATGAATAAGCACAGCTGGCATTTCTTTTCAATATCTGACTGCCTTCTTTTTCAGCTATAGAAGTGCTGTTGTCAAGAGATTAGCCTTTGGGGTAGCAAGTTAAACTGTTCATTTCTGCTAATCCCCTGGCTGGACAGGCAAATAGATATAAACTGGCTAGATATGCTGTTTGGAACAGTATATGATCTCCTACAGTTTCCTCATTGTAAAAGAAGCTAACAGTGTGTCGTCTGTGGAAAGTAACTTTTAAAAAGTTTGAGTGTGTCACTGTGACTGTGCATAAGGTAATTAGTTAAAATTCAAAATTTAGAATATTCTTGAGTTTGGTTTGTTTTTCAAAAACTTTTTTAATACCTGCCTTTTAAAATTCTTCAAACTTCCCCTATCTCTTTTACTCTTACATCCTTATTTTTTATGTTAAAAAAAAAAGATATTTATCTATCTGTCTATTTATATGCCCTGTGAGCTTCAAATAGGAAGGTTTCCTGTGTCTATTGCACAGAGCTGGATTGAAGAAAGGGGAAGGCTGAATAGTATTTCTGCTCTTGGCAAATTTTAGAGCAACTTTATTACAGTAGGCTACAAGAAGACCTCAGAAGTTCCAGCCATTCTCTGTCCTGTCCCACCTTCCTGTTAGTGACTGAAAAGGTCTGGCGTTGAGCTGACAAGTTTAAATATAAATTACTAGGTCTGTGGTGTCCCGTCCCCCCCCCCCCCCCCCCTTGTTTTTTTTTTGTTCTCTCCTCTTCCGCATCAAGAATCCAGCGATGCAAGTTCTTGTATTTCACTGAATTATGTACTGTTTCCTTACACTGCGCCTTTACCACTGTATTTCTAGAATTCTTTGCAGCTGAGCCTGCAGACACGCATGTTCATTTAATATAGGCAAGCACCTACAGAAATTGAAACTAAAAAAGATTTCTCTTTCACAGTATAGGAAGCAGAAGATTATCATGCTTAGTTACTGTGCTAAGGTGGGATATGTAACGAAAGGCAGAATGGCCTTTTGCCCTCATCTATTGAAATTGGGAATAGTCTTACATTCAGTATACTTAATTTTTATTTATTATTTTTATGTAAAGAGGAGCTAATAGAAGTTGATAAGGCTTTTTATTTTTTTCTCAGGTATGCCAGTTAGCTTTCTTTAGACATACAGATAGTTTAGGTGACTTAATACTGTAACATTAGAAGGAGATTGTCGCTAGTTTAAACTGCCTCTGATGTAATTCAGAATCAACCATGCATCTTAATTAGTATTTGATTGATGCTTGTTTTAGTGTCAGCAGAATTATTTAGCAGATACCCTTAGTAAACTGTGTAAATAAAAAAAAAAAAAAAACGCAGCTGTTGATATCCTTAGGTATCGGTTATGTAAAAGAGGACATTTGCATGGAACTGTTGTATTACACAGAGGTATGCATATTTTTATATGCTTTTCAGTTTCTGATGAAAATGTAAATATGGCTTACAGATTGTGTTATAGCTCTGATTTTTGTTCTGATGTAAGTATTCTTGTTCTCTTCAGTTTTGGCAAGCGTTCTGCAGGAAGCTTCAGGCGTGGCTGTGAATGCATTGTTTTAGAGCCATCTGAAATGATTGTGGTAAGAATATTTCCCTTCATTTACTTCCAAATTGTTTTGAAGTAGAACTTTATTTTACATACTTTAGCTTTCAATTAAACTTGAAGAGATTTCTGGGTTTTGCAAATGAGCTTTTATAAATCTGCAAGTCGTGTCTAACTTCCTTGCCATTTCTTGCATGCATGTTTGCCTTGTTTGAGTGATAAAGACATCTTTTTGCACTATTACATTAAATTTACTTTTGCAGTTTTGTTTCCACTTTTCTGCAGAATAGTGGAACAGGATTTTTAAGTGCAGCTGCTTTCTTATTGCAGTTGAGCACAGATATTTTAAAGTATTAATCTCAAGTTAGTTGAATTAATATTTGAGTGAATTAAGTTTATTTTCAGCAGTTTGAGATTTTAACAAGCAGTTTGAATACTTTAAAGTTCTACCAACTTTTCTGGTGAAAAGCTTATCTTAGTAGTAGTCTGCTATAGTCCAGTGGTCAAATAGCATCATCTCTGAGGGTTCAGAGGTTCAACAGTTATCAGCTGGTACCTCAATGCGCATCAATTGCACCATCAAGGGGCTAAGTGTTTTTTGCTCTGTCACTGAGATAACGATCAGTTCACAATACAGGCGTGACAATTACCTAAGCCATATATAGACACTAGTTCAAACACAGGCTGTGACATTGAACTAGTGGGTGGGCTTTTTTTTTTTTTTTTTTTTTTAACAAAAAGTGACAATGCCTGTAAGTCTAAACTGTGGAAATTATAAAATAGATTTAGGCCTGTCAAAGAGAGAAGTTATTTTTTGTTTAAAGTTAATTGTTAAAAAGCAGCATTTTAACTTACCTTCTTGTGAGTGCAGGCAGGTTCTGTGATCTCCTGTAAGGAGATAGAAGCTTGCCTAACGTTAGCTTTTTCTGTCAAATGTTTGGTGATGTTTCTCCCTCTTCCCATTCTACTAAGAACATTATCTTATGAAACTAATTCAGTCGTGTGAAACATGGGAGGTACAAGTGAGAAATGCTAGTCGTTTTCTCCTTGCTCCTAAAGCCCTCTATAATTTTACTTTGTGAGGGAGCAGCTCTTCAGTACCTGCCTATTGTGTCTCCCTATTTCCATGCCCCCCGGAGTTATCTGGCCAATTGGTGCAACTCATCTCTAACCCTAAGTTTAGGAAAGGGTTTATTGTCCCATATTTGTTCTCCTGATGCAATTTAATAGGTGGATGTGTCTCTCTCACGCTCCTACTTTGATAAGTTGTAAGAAAGAAAAATGTA